ACAGAATAGTGGGTGGAGATCCTCCACTGTCATACCTGGGAAATACTGATGTCCACTCCCCAGGCCACATTCCAGCCCCTCTCCAGATTTACCAGTCAAGGTTTGTGCCCCCTCCCTCCCCAGCCAATCACTTCTTCCTTGTCTGCACCCTGACAATGACCTTACTTCACAGTTTTGCCTTCCCTAGCCCCTCTCTGTACTTGCCAGGTGAAGCCCAGCTTTGGCTGTGCACAGCAGCCTCTGTACCTTCCTTCCCTTTCATTCATTTATTCATTCAAGACAGAACAAATACTGTCACCATATCAAACAGAGATCGTCATGTTTGTTTGTGTTCACTTCCATCCTGGTCCCTGCTGTGAAGAATGTCTCCATCCAGGTGGACATTCAGGCTGAAACTCTTGAACTTGTTTGTTCATTCAGACTTTGTGGAGCATCATTACAGCTGAGTGGTGTCAGAGGGCATGGCTTGAAAGTGTCTTTTTAAAGCAAGGTGGCCACGGAGAAGTGGAGCTGGAGGAGAGTGAGGCTGAGCAGGGGGCACCTAGGCATTGGGCCACCCTGTGAAGCTACTGGCTCTTCTATGGGAATGCCCTAGTCAAGATGGACAAAGCCCAGCTAGGCCTTCCTGGTGCCTGGAAGTGAACTCTAGACCCAGCCCACTCCGTGGGCAGATGGGTGCCATGAGGTCCAGGGTGAGACCGGCAAGTACACAGCCTGGAGCCTGACCCTGTCCCCAGCCTTTGAATGCCCCGTGTCTTGTGCTTGAACTGTCACTCTACAGTGTCTAGAGATGGGCAAGCCACAGAGCGTGCCTGTCAGCTGCCTGGGAACCTAGGGGACCCACTCAGGCCAACTCTGGTCTGGACACTCCTGCCACAGCAATGATGACTGTATAGTGAGGGTAGTGAGTTCTGGTCCCAGCTTCAAACGGGGCTTCCTCCATTGACACCTTCCTGTACAATGGGAATATGGCAGTGACCTTATAGGGATATTAAGCCACTGTCCCTACAGTCACAAAATCTTTCCAGCATGGGGGCTTGTGTGGGGTCACAAGTGGTTTTTTTTTTAAACAAGGTCGTACTGTGTACCCCAGTCTGGCCTCAAACTCACTCTGTAGCTCAGGCTGACCTCAAACTTGAGATCTTCCTGCCTCCATGTCTCCCAAATATGGGTGTGTGCCGCCACACCTGTCCCACGGTGCTTTTCATTTCATGAGAAACAACTCACTGAAGGCTCAGGCTAGGGAAAAGCATGGCAGGAGGCTCCACTCCATGTACTTGAAGGCCAGAGGAATCTGTGTGTGGGCTCCTTACACTGGGACAGGGGTCAGCCTGTAGACAGAACAAGCTTCTCACCTGGGAGAAATTAAGAAAATGTCTCTCAGGTTCAGACTCAGTTTCCCCCCAGTTGCTTTGTGGGTGGGCGGATGAGGGTGCAGCTTGGCCTGAATCCTCCTGGGGCCTTCAGCTCTAGCCTTCGGTGGGCCCAGCCTTGCTGGCTGCCCTTCTAGGTTTGGAGTCTCCTAGTCCCTCCCAGAGGCAGCCACTGCTGCTATGCCCCTCATATCCCTCTCCCTGAGGGGCCAATGAAGGAGCTGCAAAGAAGGTTCCCGCTCTTGCTAAGGTCTGAGACTGGCTCCTGCCACATGAGAACCATGTATCTCCGGGGTTTGATTTCTAGCACCTGGAGCAGTCACATGACTGCCCTGGAGCACTCAGTTCCTGGCCTTTGACTAACACCCCCAGGTAGCCCCTGGGCCTCTGTCCTTACTTTGGGTCCACTTGCCTCACAACTTCCTGTAGTTTTTTGTTTTTTTTTTTTGTTGTTGTTATAATAGGGCTTGAACACAAGGCCTACACCTTGAGCCACTCCACTACCTCTTTTTTTGCGAAGGGTTTTTTTGAGACAGGGTCAAGCAAACTATTTGCCCAGGCTGGCCTCGAACCTTGATCCTCCTGACCTCTGCCTCCTGAGTAGCTAGGAGTACAGGTGTGAGCTACCGGCACCCAGCTTCTGTAGTATCTTTAAAGCAAAAACCAACCCCTGTCACTTCATGGGTAAAAGCTGCCAATGGCCACCAAATGCAATAAAATAACCCCCCAGCTCTGCACCACATGATCTGTTTGGCTGCGTATGACAGAGAAGCCAGGGAACAGTGTGTCAGGCAAGGGGGCTATCACTGGCCTTCTGCAAGCCACCAAGGCCAGTCTCCTTGTTTCAGTGGGAAGAGAGCAGGGTCAGGGGGGTCAGAGGTGAAGGGATGTGCCCGGAACATTTCTCTGTTTTACAAGGCTTTCTCAGAAACCCCACAGTCACTTAAGTTCATCTCAGCAGCCTGCCTCTAGCTACCTCAGGGACACGTGGCCAACTCTAGCCGCAGCGGAGTCGAGAAGGTGAGTTGCTTGTTTGCATTTTTCTCTTTGGAGACAAGGTCTTGCTGGGTAGCCCAGGCTGGCCTTGAACTCATGATCCTCCAGCCTCAGTCTCCTGAATGCTAGAATTAGAGGCATGTGGCCACTTTGCCCAGCTTTAGATTGGGATTCTATTAGAAAAGAAGGGCAGGATGGATGTGAAGTTGGTCTAAGGAAGTTCTGTCAAGGCACTGCTGGGTGGCCCTCTCTACCTTTACTGGCCTCGCTGTTCTCCTGGTCCCTGCGGCAGGCCACACTGCCCTTCTCCTGCCCTGGACTACATCCACTCGGTCAGCTATAGCCTCACTGGCCCCCAGGCTCAGCCAGCTGCAGCTTTTCCTCTAAGATTCAGCTCAGACACTTCTTAGTGACTCTCAGATCCAACTAGACAAGGAAATTCAGGAGCCCAGTGGAATGAAACTGTTAAGATCATGGCCAATTCACACACCCTGGTAAGGACTGACTCCTGGTTGAATTTTAAGAGGTACCGAAGTCTTAACCCCAGACACCTGTGACTGACCTTATTTGGAAACAAGGTCTTTGACGATGTTTTTATGAGATCAGGATGAGTAGGGTGAGCCTTTAACTCAATTCGTGACTGTTATCCTCAGAAAAAAAGACAAAGACCCAATCCCCAGCCCCAGAAGGCCCTGTGTGGCAAAGGCAGCAACTGGAGTTAGATATCTGTAAGCCAAGGGCACCAGGGGGTGTGTCAGCCACCACTCAAAGTGGGGAGAGCGAAGAAGTTTGTCCCTCAGAACCTTTATGTGGAAACAACCCGGACACCTGGGTTTTGAACTCTAGAACTGTGAGGGAAGAGCCTGTTTTCTTAGCCACACAGTTTGTGGGATTTGTTACCACAGCCCTAGGGACCTAACCACTCCCCAAGATGTCAGTTAAGTGATAAAAGCAGAGAACAGGGTTGGTGGATTGGCTCAAGTGGTAGAGCGCCTGCCTAGCAAGTGTGAGTAAAAACCCCAATACCATAAAAAAAAAAAAAAAAAGTACCACACACACACACACACACACAAAATGCAGGGAACAGCACAGCGAGAACCTCGGCCATGCTTGGTGGGGCACAGCTGTTCTCATATGCTGGGACAGACATGTCCAGATGAGCTGAGATGGCCCAGGAACTAGAGGTGAACTTGCCCCAGAGCCTGTCTCAGGGAGGTTTCCTCCTCACTGCTCAGCCTCAGTTGTGTGCAGTTTGTTCTTTAAAAGCCTTCATACAGGACTAGGAGTGTGGCTCAAGTGGTATAGCACTGAGTTCAAACCAAGAACCGCAAAAGAAAACCCAGGAAAACAAAAACAAACAAACAAAAACCCAACTTCATAGTACTTATTCCTATAAGTTTAAATCAGGGACAAAATAAAATGTAAAATAAATTAAAACACCACTGCTCCCTTCACCCTGGGTTTGTGGGTGACGTTTAGTGGTCACCTGTTGAGGTGGAAGTGAGGGACCCTGCTTTGTAGCATTTGCCGATTTCTCCATGTTTTGCTCCTGTCATGGCCAATTTTGAGCTACCAATATGAATTCATGGAACTGGGTTGCAGCAGAGTGCACCCCCAAGTCACTTTGTCACATCCTTCCCCACTCAGAGGGCTTGTTTTGTCCCACAGGGACATGAGCCCTAAGCACTTGAAGCAGCCCTGGAATCAGCACCTCATGAAATAGTCCTGCTCAGATCAGGTTATAGGAAGGGTCATGCTGGAACCTTTCCAGAGAGCCCTGGTGTGGAGAGATCAAGAGTGACGGGGACCTTGAGGACACTGTGGCCACAAGCCCTACTCAGGATGCCCCTTCAAGATGTAGCCACTTAGACTCACAGAAAGGAAGGCTCTGTCCAAGGCCACTCGGCTGGGAGAGAGCCAGGGAAGGGCCTTCTGCACTTGCCAGCCAGGGATCCTCCCTCGGTTTCTTTTACAAGAAAGAGGCCAGGGGGACCCCAAGAGTCAGCAGCCACCCCTTTCTGGCCTCCTGCCCAAAAAACTGGGCCTCTAGGGCTGACCTCACAGGCTGGCACTGAGGACTAAAGGGGTGCTTTCAGTGCCGGCTGAGGTGGAGCAGAGCTGGGCAGGGAGGCAGGGAGACTGCCTTTGGCAAACCAGCAGGCCTCTTCCTGGAAGCTGACTCTCCTTGGCTGAGTAGAGCCTGGTCATGCACTAGCAGTCCGGGAGATGAACAGCTCCACTCAGACCCTCCCTCCTTGGGGGCCCCTGACATTCTCCACCCCAGTATCCCCGCTATGTCCCCACCACAAGCCTCCCACTGCTGGGATGATGGCATCCAAGAGATACCTACTAAAATGCTTGCCTAGCATGCATGAGGTCCTTAGTTCAAATCCCAGTGCCACAAAAAAAAAAAAAAAGAGATACCTACTAAAGGGATGGGATTCAGCCTCGCGTGCTTGTGGCTTTATGTCACACAGTGCTCCAGTCCCACCCTGGAGATGAGGAAGACAGTCGCTCAGGTTACCCTTGACCTCCCCCAGGGCACAGACCACAGAGCCACGAGTCTCACAGGAAGGCCAAATGAAGTCCCTGGCACAATGCGCAGAGGAGCCAACTCACTCACTCAGAAACAATGAAGACTTTATTTCCAGAAATGACCCTGGGGTGCACAGAGCTGGAGTCTTATCTTTGCTAGGCACAAGCTGCCTCCTGAGAGTGCTTGTCACATTCCTCAGTTTGGAGGGGCCCAATCTGTGTCCTCACAGGAACATTAGGCACTAGGGAGACCAGAATACCTGGAGAGACACTATTGCTGGGGATCAGAGAAGTAGACCTTTGGCTTGGTGATCCAAGCTCTTCAGCCTGTGGATACCACACTGCTCTCTCCTGAGCCGCACAGGAAGGCCAAATGAAGTCCCTGGCACAATGCGCAGAGGAGCCAACTCACTCACTCAGAAACAATGAAGACTTTATTTCCAGAAATGACCCTGGGGTGCACAGAGCTGGAGTCTTATCTTTGCTAGGCACAAGCTGCCTCCTGAGAGTGCTTGTCACATTCCTCAGTTTGGAGGGGCCCAATCTGTGTCCTCACAGGAACATTAGGCACTAGGGAGACCAGAATACCTGGAGAGACACTATTGCTGGGGATCAGAGAAGTAGACCTTTGGCTTGGTGATCCAAGCTCTTCAGCCTGTGGATACCACACTGCTCTCTCCTGAGCCGTTGGCTGGTGGGAGTGACCCAGACATCAGCTAACCCCTTTTACAGAACAGTAGCCTGAGGCCCAGGTGAAAGGACTTCTCCTTGTCACAGCCATATCACAACTTACTTCACTGTGGTGTCCTCATCCTACTGACCTGTCTGCTCCCTCACCCAGGGGCCTGGGTTGCTCTGCAGTGGGAGGTGAACAGCTGGGTGCACAGGTAGAGGACTTTATTCTGTTCCACCAGGAGTGCTCCAAGAGACCCTTTGTCACTAAAAAGACAAGAGAGGTGGCCAAGGTCTCCCTGGAGCTCTGGCAAGTAGAAGATCTGGGGAGCTGGCCAGTCCCTGGGAGCCTGTTGGTGGCTCATCAGAGACCCCTTGGAGGCAGAGAGTGGGAGGCTAAACTGGAGTGTCTGGCTGTTTGGAGGAGATCCTGAGTGACAGTTCCAGGCACAGAGCACTGGTAAGCCAGTGCTGGGCTGCAGGGGTATTGCCCCTGACGTTTATGACTTCCTGACTGTATGCGAGTCCCCATTTCACAGTTGATTAACAAAGTTCCCAGCCGAGGGCACCCTCTGGTGAGCAGGAAGATCTGCTAAGGGGCCGCTTTACCTCTTTGTCTGTTTCAGCAAAGCCACCCTGGGGAGGGAGGGTGAAGACAACCATCACAGACTAGATGGCTGGGCCAGGGCTGGCCGCGGGGCAGTGGACGTAGCCTCACCCTCTGATCGGTTGTCTTCGCCCCGTGTATAGGTGAGCACCACTGTCACGGTGGCGAAGGTGGCAGCATTGACCGGGAAGGCACGCAGCAGGGTGGAGGCCAGTCCACGCGTAAACACACGCCAGCCCTCTGCCTGGTAGCTCTGGTGTGCGCAGTCAAGGATGCCTCGGTAGCGCGGGGCACCCTGTAGCCCGTCAGCCTGTAGCCGTGACTTGACCACATCTACTGGGTAGGTGGACAGCCAGGACATGATGCCTGACGTGCCTCCTGCCAGTAGCAGTTTGGGCACCAGTAGCCGGTCCCCTGGTTCGCAGCCCAGGGCGCGTGTCAACACGTCATAGGTGAGGAAGTAGACCCCGAAGCTGGGTGTCTCCCGCAGCAGCGTGGACACCATGCCACGGTTGATCCCGCGCAGACCCTCCTGCTGGTAGATCTGAGCCAGGCAGTCCAGGGAGCCCTTGTAGGTGCGCACGGAGCCCGTGTCCTGCAGCTGCAGCCGCGTCTTGGCCAACTCCATGGGGCAGCAGATGACACACTGGATGGCACCTGCTGCAGCGCCTGCCAGAAACTGGTTGAGCGGGGAGTCGCAGCCCAGGGCTCTGAGGGTGTTGCCCTGTACCCCAAACACCAGTGCGTTGATGAAGGTGAGCCCCATGAGGGGTGAGCCCAGGCCTTTGTACAGGCCCAGCACCTGTGGGGACAGATATGCCATCAGGGTTGGCAGGGCACTGGCTGCCTAGCTCATCTCCCCAGCCCTCTTTGCAGCAGGGGCAGCCCCAGCCCACCCCAGCTGCTCATGAGGACCAAGCAGATTCTCATCAGAACAGTCCTTAATCTGAAAGGCCCAGGCAGTCACCACTCCACACTTCCCAAGCCCTGATTCCCTTCAGTCACCCAGGATCTTTTCTGGCACCCTGGCCTGCAAGTGGTGGCATCCCAGAGGCCCAAGGCCACTCACACTCTCCTGCTTGATGATGGACTGGAAGCAGTGCAGCGTCCCACGGTACTGGGGCTTCTCCACGCTCTGCACCTGCAGCCGCACCTGCAAGGACCGGCCCAGTGAGAGGCAATGGGTGTGGCCACAGCACCCAGTTCCCCTGGCCTGGTGCACACGAGGCAGGGAGTCGAGTAGTTTTGGGGATTCTATGGAGGGGCTGGTTTGGGTGTTTGTGGGCAAATAGCTACAAGCATGGCTAGCTGCAGATGGACTAGGAGGTCCCCAAGATCCCAGACAAATTGAGTGGAGCCTCATCTTCACCACACAGCACAGTGCATTACAGTAGGGAATTACAACAGGGCCAACCTGTTGTTTGGGTGACATCTGTCATCCCACTGAATCGCTAATGTCCCAAACCATGGCTGAGGCCAAAAAGCCTTGCCACTTGGTGTCCTATCACTGACTTTCCTCATCGGGGCAGGCAGTGGGGCAACAGGTGTCAGCAGCAATGGGTCACAGCTCCACTCCGGCCTGATTCCTGCCAGAAGTTCCTTGTGAGAGCTGTGACTGTGAGTCAACAACAGAGACAGAATGACTGACAGTCTTCCTGGAGACCCACAGCAGCAACTCTGGGGCCAGAGACACGGATCAGGCCCTCTCGTGTGTCAAAGGGCTCTTTGTTGATGAGAGCCTATCTCTGCTGTTGAAACACAGGCTCTGCAGTTGCACAGTGGGAGGGATACTCTCTGAACTTGACTCCGAGCCACTGGGATGGTGGAAACTAGGTCAAATCACATCCTCAGGAGCTGATTCCCTTGGCTCAGACTCCAAAATGATTGTTACTGCAGCCAGGGCACAGGGTGAGCACTCTCTGTGCCTGCAGCACGGGAGCTGGGGCCTTGCCCTCATTCTCCCTGGGCATTGGAGCCCCCAGTGAGGTGGACTCAGTTCCAACATGGGAAGACCAAAGCTCAGAGGTGCTCTGTAACATGGCCAACGCTGTCAACGCTGTCTTCTCCAGAGGCAGGGGTGGCTGTTGGTGGAGGTGAGGGCAGGTGGGGGTGCTGCTGGGGAATGCTCTCATGGGGAACAGCCAAGCAGTCCCTGGAACCTTGTCCAATTCTCTCCACCAGAGCGGTGGACTCCCACTGGGGAATGTAGTCACACAAAAGTGTTATTAGGAAAAAAATGTTCCATCTCTGCCCAAGGGACCGCCACAGAGTAACCACTGCTGAGGAGCTGCTGGCCACAGGTGTGCCTGGTAGCAGCTCCCCTCAGCACTTCATAACTTGGCCATCCAGCTCTGCCAGTACTTGACAGGGAGAAGGGGATTTTCAGAGGAGAAAAGCAAAACCCCTCATTGGGCCTTAATCAGATACTAACACCATGAGCCCAGCTTGGGCCAAGTCTCTGTGACATGAGGTTTCTCTCTCCCTTCAAAGTCCTGGGGCCTCTACTGGGACACTTCTATCCTCCTGCAGCCCAGCTCTGGCACTAAGAGGGCTGCTGGCATAACTGCTGTGAAGTGGAGCTGTCCCTTCCATGGTCACGCTTTGAATGGCATCTTTAACTCTCTGCATAGCACAGACAATGTTGAGTGCCCAGGTCCAGGCAGCTCAGATGTCAGGCTTAGCCCAACTGGACTCCTCCAACAGGCAGAGCCTGGACCTGTAAGGAACCCCCACTGCCTGGGAGTCTGGGGGACCATGTATGGGGTGAAACGTGCCCTGTAATGCCTAGAGTTGAGGCTCTTAACGTCTTGGGATGACATCTGAGGATGGATGGAAAGCATGAATCCCTGGGAACGTGACTGTTTACACACAGGGCTGGGAGACGCCCACACAAAGATCCCCTCTCCCCCATATCCACAAGGGGCCAACTCTTCTACACCAGCCCAAATGGAGCCCCCAGCCCAGGACCTATGAGGCCAGTTTGCCTCATGCCCTCCCTGCCCCTGCCAGGCGTGGGAACTCTGAAGGGGGGGTGTGGGTGTGGGCGAGGACCAGGAAGAGGATCACCTGGTCTGTACTCACTAGAGCTCCCAGGTGAGGCTTCCGCGCATCTGCAACAAAGTTGCACTTTGCTACTGACAGGTGGCCCCTAGCTCAGGACAGCAAAGCGTTAAAGAACACAAATGTCAACATCACATGCAGGCGCCCAGCCCTTGGCTGGCCCGCCCACCCAGTGATGGTCAGTTAGTCCTTGTCAAGGTGACTGCTCCCTGATGGCATGTCCCTGATTACTGCGATGCCTGGTGAGGTTAGACACAGAATGCTACCTTCCTACAGAACTTCATGGGAAGGGGGTGTGCCTGAGGACAATGGCTGTGGTTCTGGATGTGACAGAGGAAAACCAAATCTGGTACTTTCAGGCTCAAGGGCTTAGAGGAATAAACTCTGAAAATTCCACTCATGGGAAAGCATGGTGGCCAGGAACCATGGGCATCCCCCAAATATATTCCAAAGTACAGTGTCAGTTATATGAAGGGGACTCATGGCCTCAGGGATGAGGACAGTGGACACCTTGGAAACTGGAGAGAGAGAGGATGTAGGTGTGAGGGTTCCAGGGGCAGACCATCTTGGTCTTCTCCAGGTAGGGGTCACCCAGGTGTGTGCTTGTGATGACACACACATGTGAACACTTAGGATCTGTGACAGGGTCCAACTGGCCTTGGAATAGAAACCTCCTATCTACACCTCCTATATAGCTGAGGCTATAGAATGTCCCACCATGCGTGGCTTGTTCTTTGAAATAGGGTCTAACTTTTCTCCCATCTTGAACTGCAATCTCCTATCTCTGCCTCTCAAGTAGTTGGTATTACTGTCATAAGCTACCTCACCAGGCTGTTGCTAGGATTTTTTGTTGTTGTGTTTCCTTTTTCTTGAGACAGAGTGTCACTGTATAGCTCAGGTTGGCCTGGAACTTATGATCCTCCTAACTCATCCTCCCTAGTGCTGAGATTACAGGCATGAGCCAACATGCCTGGCTAAAGACATGCTCTCCAATGCAGGTTAAATTTCAATTAAAAGCAAAAACTGAGGGCTGGGGATATAGCTTAGCGGTAGAGTGCTTGCTTAGCATGAGCAAAGCCCTGGGTTCCATCCCTAGCACCACAAGAAAACAAAACAAAAAAGGATGGTATCACTCATTCAGCAGACTAAGCTAGAACATAGACACAGATACACAGTGAGAGAAAGAGAGAGAGAGAGTAACTGCAGCAATATGGAGTGAATCCATTCCTGCCAAAAGCAAGGAGTGTGTAAGACCTATGCATGTTGCTGTTTTTCAGCAGACATCACTCACAGGGTTGGAGAAAGGCCATAGGAAGCATGACATTTTTCTTTTTAGTTCGTGTATTCATTATGGTTATCTATTTTTTTTACAACCTGTATGACTTTTGTAATACAAAGTCAAAAAGAAATGTGTATATACGTGATGACTAAAACACATTTAAAAGATATCCTGGGCTGGTGGAGTGGCTCAAGTGCTAAGAGCACCTGCCTAGCCCCAAGTTCAAACCCCAGCACCACCAAAAAAAAAAAAGAAAGAAAGATGCCTCATGCTAGGCATTGTAGTACATGCCGGTAACTAGCACTGAGGAGGCTGAAGTGGGAAAATCAAGAGTTCAAGGCCAGCCTGGCTAAACAGTGAGACCCATCAAACCAAACAAAACAAAATGAGACTTAGAGCCTTGGAGCCTGGATTCTGAAGGTAATACACAAACTGGAAAACGGAAACCTGGGGATGAAATGATTGGCTTTTGTATTTCCCAGGTTTCTTTTGCTGAGAATGTTTAACTTTGACACTGGTAGACAGTAAAAACAAGGCCATTGGTGACAAAGTGAACTGGGTGAATGGACATCAGATACGCCCAAAGTCACAGCAGGTGGCAGTGGGTGGGGACAGAGGGACAGGTTTCCTTCCCTTCATAATAAATAGCTTGGCTTTTAAAGGCAGGTTTGCCCAAATGAGATGCCAGCGGCCATGGGGTACGTGTGTGGTGTGGGGGAAGGCATGAATGGATTATTCTCAAAGGTCACCCCCTAGGTGTGGAAGTGGAGGCGGTGGAGAGGCATCAGCACATGAATAACTGCAGGGGTGCAGCCATGGGGGCAGCAGCCCAGAGGAGCTGGAGACACCAGGACAAAAGTGCTTGCCAGTCTGAGTGGGCCTGGTGGGAGCCTGCAGAACCTGGCCAAGCCCTGCCAAGTCAGCTCAGAGAGGCCCGACCTCCAGAGCTAGATGGAGGAAGTGAGTCCAAGGCTCTTGGCTGCACACAGCTGTGAAACACATGACCACAAGATACAAACACAGTGCAAGGAGGATACTGCCAGGCTGTCCTGGACTGCTCCAGTCTGTGGGCAGCATCATAGGGGGCCTGGCCAGGCAGAGCGTTGGCATGGCAGGTGGCCTCGTGGACAGACACTGCCAGGGCCTCACCCTGTACAAGGAACTCAGGGACCACAGCTTGCCAAGAAAGCCTGCCCTTCAGCCTGCTCCCCAGATCTGCCTGCTGTAGTGATTTGTGCCTTCCATAACTTGCAATAATCTGACACAAGCTATTCTGGTGAGCACCAGGCACCACCAGGAGCCTTGACAATCTCATTCAACCCCTCATTTTGCAGATGAGAACATCTGGGCCCAGAGACCCAGGGACTGGTGCAAGGTCAGGCAGTAAACCAGCTGGCAGTGGAGGCCTGGACCAGGGACAGAACTTTTTAAGGTCAAAGCCAGTGCAAAAGGCCAGGCCCTCATACCTGTGCTGGAGGAAATCCTAGCCCTGAATTAATGAGCTATTTTCTTTGCCAATAAACACCTGGTTCACTGAATAAAAAGGAGACAGGAAGTCCACCTTAACCCAGCTCAGGATGACGTGTCTTGCCTCCAGCTCTGCCCTCACCAATGTAGTAAAAAGAGCCAAGTTCAGGGTGTGTAGCAAATACAGAAGGTCTGGCTCACAGCCTGTCCTGGGTCCTGGGAAATGGCATGGAAGGGTCCTGATGTGGGTAGCTTGAGCACAGAAAACCCTAGCCAAAGGGGAAAACTTATGTGGGAACCTCCTCCTGGAGGATGTGGATCTCTTGGTTTCTGTTGTGTGTCTGAGAAGCTGTAACTCCAGTTTATAGAGGTGTGGGACATATGGAGGAGGAACTGGCTAACTGAGCATGTGCCCCAGGGCCTTGTTCCCAAAATCCAGGCCCCAAGACAGGGGTGTTCCTTAGGTCCGTGGCCAGATACCTTGCAGGTACATACCAGGATTCAGGAACAGTCCCTGCTCCAAGAGGATCATGTTAGGGGAAATGCCTTTGCTGGCCAAGCCTGAGAATGAACTTGGTTGTGAACCCAACATGCAGTTCAGCCCCAGCTGGGAGCTGTAGGAACAAGCCCAGTCGAGTCAACTCAGTTCAATGGAAAAGCAGCTGCCCACCTGGGCATCCGGGAGATGCTCTCATTCTACCTTTACTCTAAAAATCTGGGGCAAGACCTTGAATTTGACCCTGAGGCAGTCTCCAACATCTGCACCTAAGCAAGGGATTGAGAATAAAACATTGACAAGAGACTCACCTTGACGGTGTCAAAGGGGTGTCCCACAAGCACACCTGCAACACCTGCAGGGAGAAAAGACACTTATGACCAAAAGCCTTGGAACCTTGCAGGGAGCTGGGCAGCTGGGGTTCTGCCAAGGAGGATTGGGCAGTGGGAAAGGGACCTGCTGGGTCCTGGGCACATCCCAGGAGTTCCTATAATCCTCCATCTGGTGACCCAAGGTCAAGCCCAGCTCCATGCTGTGTGTCTTTGCTTACCCTGCAGTGAGCTGCAGGTCATGTGTGTAACAGCCATCAGTTGACCCCTAGGAGGCTTCGCACACAGTTTCTGGGATGTTCCATTGCTCTAAACACCTCCTGGCATGAGCAGGAGGCTCCAGGGACTTTAGAATTGGGGGTTAGCCCATTAGCAGATGTGAATTTTCCCTCTGCTACTTATCAGCAGGGCAAGCTCACAAGGGTCTCAGTGTCTGAGCCTCTCTTCACCTGTGAAGATGGTATGGCTTCTGCCTTCCCACTTATATGCCTTCCCCAGGGCAGCCATGAAGATTAATGACCCCTAGGAAACGATGAACCCAGGACCTTAAGCCATTTTCCAGTGGGGGCCGCCTCAAACCCAGGGAGGTGGCTTGGAATTTTGCAGTCACGCATAAGTTATTCATCAGTTCAGAGCTCCACTGAGAGCCGGGCGCCGGTGGCTCACACCTGTAATCCTAACTACCCAGGACGCAGAGATCAGGAGGTTGGCCGTTCCAAGCCAGACCGGGCAAATAGTCCAAGAGACCCTATCTCAAAAAAACCCATCACCAAAAAAAAGGGCTGGCAGAGCTACACATCAGACAAAGGACTGATAACCAAAATATATAGGGAACTTAAAAAACTAAATTCTCCCAAAACTAATGAACCAATAAAGAAATGGGCAAGTGAACTAAATTTCTTCTTCTCAAAAGAAGAAATTCAAATGGCCAAAAAACACGTGAAAAATGCTCACCATCTCTAGCAATAAAGAAAATGTAAATTAAAACCACACTAAGATTCCACTTCACCCCTGTTAGAATAGCCATCATTAGCAACACCAACAACAACAGGTGTTGGCGAGGATGTGGGGAAAAGGAACCCTCTTACACTGCTGGTGGGAATGTAAACTCGTACAACCACTCTGGAAAAAAAATTGGAGGCTACTTAAAAAGCTAAACATTGATCTACCATTTGATCCAGCAATACCACTCTTGGGGATATACCCAAAAGACTGTGACACAGGTTACTCCAGAGGCACCTGCACAACCATGTTTATTGCGGCACTATTCACAATAGACAAGTTATGGAAACAGCCAAGATGCCCCACTACTGACGAATGGATCAAGAAAATGTGGTATTTATACACAATGGAATTTTATGCAGCCATGAAGAAGAACGAAATGTTATCATTCGCTGGTAAATGGATGGAATTGGAGAACATCATTCTGAGTGAGGTTAGCCTGGTCCAAAAGACCAAAAATTGTATGTTCTCCCTCATATGCGGACATTAGATCAAGGGCAAACACAACAAGGGGACTGAACTTTAATCACAAGATAAAAGCGAGAGCACACAAGGGAGGGGTGAGGATAGGTAAGACACCTAATAAATTAGCTAGCATTTGTTGCCCTCAACACAGAGAATCTAAAGCAGATAACCTTAAAAGCAACCGAGGCCAATAGGAGAAGGGGACCAGGAACTAGAGAAAAGGTTAGATCAAAAAGAATTAACCTAGAAGGTAACACACATGCACAGGAAATCAATGTGAGTCAATGCCCTGTATAGCTATCCTTATCTCAACCAGCAAAAACCCTTGTTCCTTCCTATTATTGCTTATACTCTCCTTCAACAAAATTAGAGATAAGGGCAAAATAGTTTCTGCTGGGTATCGAGGGGGTGGGTAGGAGAGGGAGGGGGCGGAGTGGGTGGTAAGGGAGGGGGTGGGGGCAGGGGGGAGAAATGACCCAAGCATTGTATGCACATATAATAAAACAATAAAAATTAAAAAAAAAAAAAAAGGGCTGGCAGAGTGGCTCAAGGTGTAGGCCCTGAGTTCAAACCCCAGTACTGCAAAAATAAATAAATAAATAAAAAGTTCTCAGAGTCCTGCAGGCCATGTAGGTCATAAACTTCTCTGTGAATCTCCACTGTACGGCAGACTAATCACCCCATTTCACAGAAGCAGAAAACTGAGGCTCAGTGAAGCTTAAGTAACTGGTACTCCCACGAATCCTCCCAGAACTTCATGCACACATCTGTGCTCAGCATGGGGCACACATTCTAGCATGCAGGAGGCCCTAGTTTTGATCTCTAGGACTGAAAAAAACATCTCTTATTGCTAGCAGTGTTTATGAATAATAAAAACGACTAGTATTTGTTGGGTAGCAAACAGTGACATTACAATCTGCTGAACATTGCTCTAACCTTCCTACTTATTTTTCTGAAAAAGGACTATTGGCTCACTCTTCAGATGAGGAAACTGAGGCACAGAGAAATAATGCATCCATAGCATCCAGGGAGTAAGTGATGAAGCTAGAATTGGATGGAGCCCCTCTGGCCCTGTGCTCTCTTCCTCAACCACTCATGTCTCCCATGGGCTGGAGCCTGGGTCAATTGATGCCCACACGTGCCCTGCAGACTGTACCTTCTTCACATCCTGTCTTCTTTCTTCACCCTGCTTCATGCTTTCGTTCTTAAACAGACTTTGGTATTGCCTTTGCCAGCCCTGCTTTCTTTGTTGGTTAC